ATTTAACAGTAGCTGAAAAGTTTACTTCAAAAGAATAAATCAGGTTAAAAATTATGAATAACAATTTTTGATAAAACACAGAATATTTTGAATTTTTCTTCCCTCACTGCTTTTTCTAAGATATAGTTGTTGATCAATTGTAGAGAGAAGGCACTCACCTCCTTTATCTGATATCTGAGCACCTCCAGCCGTAATGAAGTCCATGTTACCAATGTGTAACACAGCTGATAACACCTGGAATATATCCATGATCTCGTCCTCTCGAAATCTCATTACGCGCATCGCTTCCTGCAAATACACAGTAAATCAAAGTAAAATCTAGAAGCACCATTTCAAAGTGCAATATGATCATACAGATTCATGATAGGACACCTTCAAACTCAGAAAATCAAAATAAGTTTGGTAGAGATGCATGATGGGAAACAACTTTAAATTTTGAAGATCAGAATATGGTAAAACAGTGTCAATGGTTATGTTCGCGACATAAATTTTTGTTGTCACTTAACTGCATTTTTGTGGATGGTCACCCCACTAAAGATGCACTGTTTACATGTCATGCCATCAACACAGACAAAAATCATTGTAACAGATGGATTCCACAAAAATATTTTTGAAACGAAAATTTATACCAAGTTCTGAATACTATGTTACCATCCACACAAAATCTACAGCATTTATTTACACAGAATTGTCAGACGTTTTGTGATCCTCAATCTTCAACACTTAAATGCAGAGAGCATGTTCAGAACATAAAACAGTCCCGAAGAAAATCAGAAGAAAACAATTAAAAAATTCAAAGATGAATAGTGATACAGCCACAAATATTTAATATATAATTATGTACATTAGGCCTGCAATGTGTTGAATATACATTGCTCAAACTACATCGCCTGTAAGTCACATTGATTATGTCATAAGCAAAAGTTCAAGTGCACTTTGCTTCATGAAAAAAGTAGAATTTTTAAAACAGAAAATATAAAATGGGATATTATTCTCACCATGATGCTGTCAAAGTTAGTCTTGTCGTCAATAAATTCATCAGTAATACACCCACTTTGATTTAAATAATGAAAAGCGTTAGCCGAAGACAACTTAAGTTTCTCTGAAAGAAAAGAAAAACTTGCTTAAAGAACATTTTCAGGAAGTAATGGTTTAGTTGGGTATGACGTAACATATAATTATTATAAAATCCATAGAAAATTGGTGGAAACTTCCACACACCATCATAAAGGCCCCAAACCAAACAGTCCAAGAAAAGCATGGGGGTAAATGCAATCTCTTCAAAAATGACCATGAGTGAGTATTTCCATGACAACCGTAAGACAGGGAACATAATGAGCCCATACATTGTAATTATTACAGGAACACCATATTAGTACACCACTACCATATTAGTTCACCAATTTAAGGTGTGATTAGCTACAAATACAATTGATGGAAAACTCGCTTCAAATCTAATTAAATAATACATGTTACAGAAAACAAGATAACAAAATTAAATCAAGCAAAATGTACGTACATGTATAGTTTCCAATTTAAAGTATTTATTCATTTGTTTAATAAATGCATGCACTGAAAATTGGAATTTGAACTAAACATAGCAAAACTGTGTCAACCTTTTATCTAATGTCAGTGTGTACTTTATTGAGGGCGATGTTCAAAATGTAGCAGAATATTTAATGATACAATAGTGTTGAAAAATACAAAAACTTAATAAACAATTAGATTTAGAACCAGAACATATATGACAATTGTTTTATCATGGATTTGTAAGATAAGTGGGGTGATATGTGATGATGATCTCATAAGAAAAAGTCACATGAACAGCAAGATAATCACAAATGTAAAATTTTAAAATTACTATAATACAAAAATAGTAATAGTTTTGTAAATAGTTCGTTTCGGGTTGCAACTATTCTTGCAGCTTCACAAAACATGCATTAGGTGTGTTTTGTGTTTTTAAATCCAGGGATAATCTCACTCATTTTTGTTTACAAAATCAAACATTTCAAAGCGTCCACTGTGTTCTTTGATTCCATTGGCTGGAAATATGATAAATTAACGCAACACCGCACATAGATATTAAAGTTACATAACCTAATCTTATCAATTACCTTGCATTTCTGGAGATGCACCAGCTAATAGACTGTAGAATATATGATAGTTTCTTTCTTGGGGATTCTGACCAACGACACGATTCTGTGAAAAAGATCACAATTACCTAATTTTAAATCACACACAAAAGCCAATCAAATTAAAGTTTGTGACTTATACATTGCCTGTAATGAGAGACTTATAAACACAACAAGCTTTATCACTATTATGTAATCATATACAACTTTAATTTGTTGAAATTCAACAGAAAATTGGTATCTTTCAATATATTTTGGATTTGCATATCTGGTAATTTGCATAATTCGATAACTGACACTCGCAGCTGGAAGTACAAGGTGAATGTAAAAATCATTATTGTTTAAAAAAAATATTTATACCCAATACAGAAAAACATTGTTTTAATTGCAAAACAAGTTCAGGTAACTCCATTTTGTATTTACTCCATGTCATTTACTTGAAAAATATCAAGAAATTGCAATGCTTTTAACCAATTCCAATTCGTAGCGTCCATCCTTAACTTTTTCACTGCCAGAATTTGTCTGCACTTTTTTCTTATATTCTTCAATATTTCAGGAAATGAACCCTAATTTTGGAGCCAACTGACAAAATTTGAGTCAATTTTCAGTTTTTAATCAAAAAATTTGAATATTTTTGTCCCAATAAATGGCATCTAACAACGACTGAAAACAATCTGTAACTATATTTAAAGTTAGCTGTTGAAACAGAATGTAATTCTGAAAACCGAAATGGCTACATTGACTAAAAACGCTGAACATTTTAAATTTGGGTAATCATATATTAAAATCAATAACTTATGGAGATAAATTCATAACTCACCTTTTCTAAAAGAACTGTGAATTCATTCATGAATTTAAGATAAGAAAATTAATTTTTTTGAATTGTATTCATATACACAGTATTGAATTGGTAAAATTATAGATGAAATGCAAACACGTTGTTAGTGCTCTATCACAGAACAGCTTCCTCATACATTGCTACTCCATGTGCAATTTATTGAAGTATTAAAAATATAAATATGGTGAAGTCTTAGGTGGTCTATATGACACAGGAAATATTGAACACCTCCCTTAGCAAACCTGCAACTTAATACTTAAGGATACAATCTTTAATTTTTCCGCCAGCAATATTTCCTTTCTCTGAGAACTGCAGTTGAATAAACTTGCCAAATCTACTGGAGTTATTGTTGTATATCGTCTTGGCATTTCCAAATGCTTCTAGAATAGGACTGTAGGGTAAAAATATCACCAAAATCTGAAGTTAACACAATTTATCTTACCACAATTGAACATTCTCATTTAGAACGCAGTCGATAGTCTAACAATATCTAGTTTACAATGTACATCCTGGTTTTTATTCTAAATACATTTTGCACGTTTTTTTTTTTTTGACATGCCAGATAATATAAAAAGATGACCATCTCTCTCTTGCTAATCTAACACCTAATCTAACATCTAATGTGTTGAATATATTTTCTGTTTGAATTTGTATTTGTGGCCAGGAACATGACAGGGGTATTTGATGATCTATCAATCATAATGGCATTATCACAATTTTATCAGCAACATGTATTGTGGCAGTAACAATGTTTTACCATTCACATCCAAATGAATATAGCTTTAGGGCTTCAATGTGACCTGCCCACCCAATAACACACTCGCAAAGAGTATGAGTTGATGTTCAACTCCAGGTGCATGTAAGATTTTAATCTGCAAACATGATCAACCAATCAAATGATGAAAGTACCTGCTTTGTAGTATTGCTTTCTCTACATTAATATCTTTGTTGGCCATATCTACGAGTGCTGCTTGACTCATCTCTGATAAATAACTCAATATAAACTTTGTACTCTCAGTTTTTCCGGCACCGCTTTCACCACTGAAATATAAATAAACATGTATCGGTATGTAGATGCTGGTATGATAGAGGCTGTAATATGTGAATATTGTTGAATGATGTATGACCCTTTATCATCTCATCATGTCCCTCATCTTTTTTTTGTGATGGCTTCACTTGAATGTATTCTGTATGACTACTGTGTTTGCTCTATTAATAGCGGAACTATGCTTTGGTATAATTAAAAGTGTGCAAAACTCATACAGCTCCATTTATGCAAATTTTACGTTTATGTTTTAATTATCAACATTGTTAGGCCTTGCAAATACAAAATTTTCCTGGTCAAATTGTTTTTCAAAAATGTGGCAGTGAGAATTTTTTTTGTTTGCAAATCTATTTGACGGGGCACACATTTTACAGGCGTAGTAGTTCATTTGAATACACGGAACAGCAAACATAACTGCTAGTACTACTGTGAAATTTATTTTAGCTGGAATTAATTTTTGCTGAAAATACTTAGTGGATGTTTTGTATGGAATTAATTTTCACTTATTTTTGACCAGTTGAATGTAAAATAAAGGGAAAAAAAGTATATTCCTTGGATTTTATTTCCACTGAATCATCCCTTCAGGGAAAATAACGAAAATAAAGTATTTTAGATTATATGGCAGATTATTATTTTCCTTGCATTGTCTTAATCCCTTTCCTGAAAAACAAGGTGCATTTCATATTTCAGGACATAAAATGTATTAACCTCAGTAGTCATAAAATTGACCCTGAACTGAACACATGCTATAATTTGAGATATCAAGACATGTTTGAATTCTTACCTGATGAGAACACATTGGTGTTCTCGACTTTTCCACATAGAATAATAACATTCATTGGCTATAGCGTAGATATGAGGTGAGATGTCCCCGATGTGTTTCTTATTATATCGTTCCATTGTTTTCATATCGTATATACTTTCTATCGCTTTGTAAGGATTGACAGCGACAAGGATGGAACTAATGTAAGTCTATATAAATGGGATGAAAATGTACATTTTGGATAAGGTATTGTTCAAATGAATACAGTTATTGTCAATTAAGATCAATACACATATTATTGTAATAACAAGCCATGCATGGCACAGTCCCCATTAGTTATCGAATTTAAGATATATAGTTTTGTTTATAGTAATATAGCTGGAATATAAACATGTCGGGAATATGACTATGATGATTGTTTAACATTTAAATGATTGACATTTGTATCTGATCATCAAACGAGTATTGAGAGATATTGCTCTGGAACAGCATTAATTAAAACAAAATCAGCCATTTTGAATACATGTATACTGAATATTTAAAATTTGAACATAATCAGTCACAGCAAGTCAGAGATATGGCACTAGAACCACATTCATTAAAACAAAATGGCCGTCAGTCGGCCATTTTGAATCTTATCTGAAAAACTAAATGATGTGCATCAAGGTCTTATAATGTCCAACATATATACCAAGTTTGAACAAAATCCATCTGTAAACAGCCGAGAAATGCTTGATTTTGATGATTTTTTAGCACAAAAATGGCCACCATTCGGCCATTTTTAATAGGATTGTCAAACCAATATATCTGTATATCTATGACATGATGTATTATGAATATTTAAAATTTGAACATAATCAGTCACAGCAAGTCAGAGATATGGCACTAGAACCACATTTATTAAAACAAAATGGCCGCCAGTAAACAGCCGAGAAATGTTTGAGTTTGATGATTTGTAGAACAAAAATGGTCGCCATTCGGCCATCTTGAATCAGATCGTGAAACAAATTGATGTGCATATGTATAATATTATGTATGATGTATGTGATTGTGATTGGTCCAGGCATTTCTAAGATACAGGTCCGGACGCACACGCACGCACGCACGCACGCACGGACGCACGGAAGCACGGACGCACTGAAGTCAAAACATAAGTCCCCGTTTTCGAACTGCATCCGAACAGGGACTAATAAAACAAAATGTTGCAGAAGTTATCATGTCTTTTGGTCCCCAGTAACATTTTCATTGCTATTTGAAGAAATTTGGGAATTTCAATTACCTGAAATAGTGTTTGTCACAATTATGTAATCCTAGTAAAAATATAATTAAGTTACAACATTGGAAAAAAATCAAACGAGGATAATGTATGGAAAAGATAAAAACATTTTAACTCCAATCGAGTACTTTTTGTGGGTTCACAAGTCGGTATAACAACGAACAAGATGTAAAGGTTATTAACATCTTTTTTTTTTTTTGTTACTGAAAACCATTGATCATTTTGTCACCGTTTAAACATAATTTTAATTTTAAAAAAAATGTCAAAAAAAATTTGAGTCAGAAAAATTATTTGCTACTCGAAATTATTGCAATTCGATCAACTGTGCGTTTTATGGATATCACTGGTACTCTTCACTTTATTATTTTCACAGAATTGAAAGAATATGTCTTGGACAAAAATAATTTAAAAGTGATTTATAATACATGTAATATCTGACCAAATATGAAAAATAAATTGTTGTCATTGACAACAGAAAATCATAGATGGCATATAAATGAACGAATCTGTGAGAGAACTCATAATGCACTTAAATGGTAAAATCAAATATTTGCTAAAAATAGAAAATTCAGACTAAGATGTCATGAAATGGGCAATCAAGTAATATTAACATAATCTTGAAATATATTAAAATGCCAGTTTTGAATAAAAAAACAAACAAAAACTGTACAATACATATCTGAGAGACCTGATGCTACTGATATTACTGATATTACTGATGCTTGTTAAAACATTAGTGTAAAATACGAGTTTTGAACAAAAATCAATCAAATTGCAAATACAGGAAAGGATATCGAGAGAAAATGGTTGCATCTGATGATGGATAAATAAAAATTGATACAGAATATTCATTTGCTGCATACTTACGTAAATATTGTCCACTTTGTATCTAATCTGTAAATTATTAAGTATGGCGGCCTCGTGGAGATCAGATAATTTGGACATATCCTCCACACCGTGTATGCTTGTAGAATGCATGGCTGTTGTTAGTCCTGCTGCAACTTTTACCGGGTAACTAACAGTCTACATTAAAAAAAAAAGTGATTAATATTAATAATTATCGCAAAATTAAAACCAGACAAATGTACAAGACGTAATTTTCAATACGAGACATTTTGAATTTAAAATCAATTTTTCACTCTGTATATTTTTAACAATCGTCCATTTGATGTCATTATTATTAGATTGAGTTAAGTCAATAAACCGATTAAATTCTGGAATAATTTCAAAAAGTTGATTTCATTTTGGAAAGTACTCATTTTTTCTGATCTACCGGTATGTTATTGCTATTGAACAATATACATGTATTATAATACTATGTACTGTAATGGTGCATTCTCATTGGTCAATCAGTATCATTTGGATACTACTTCCAAGACTTATTTACGATTTTAAATTCAGTCATTTGGCTGTATGTCACTATAAAAACTCTGAATCAAATCAGTCGAAGCACGTCTGAGAAATGGTCTGCCATCTTTAAACGAATCACAAAATCAATGCACAAGTCCTGCATATGTACCCAGATAAGGTACTGACACACAGAAACTAAAACACAAGTCTCCATTTTGAACTTTTTCTGAACAAGGACTAATGAACATCCTATTAAAAACATATCATATTTCATCAAATAATATTCAAACTGACTAAATATTCATACGTCTGGTGAACTAACGGCATCAACATGAACAGCTGGGGTAAAGGTCAAACAAAGTGCGCTTCAGTGCAATGATAATGGAATAATTCCCTAGACGAAAAAGTAAATCATCTACCCAGACTCATTCATTTGTTGTAATGCCAGTCAGTCTATGCAGTAACTAAATGCATCATGCCTAGTATTGGAGTGACCTTACTCATTCCAATTTACTGTTGAGTGTTTTATATTTAAATACATTTCAGAAGCAGGTTTAGCTGAATTAACTTTAGTTGACGCATAACACACGCTCATACTTTGTGTAAACAAATAAAGTATGTTACAGACGCGAAACACATCTCATGGGACCCATGTGAACACAATGTGCCATGATGACTGTAGCCATTTAAATTAGCAAGCGTAGGTACATGTATGGTTTCCAATTTGAAGAACCGAAAATTTGTATTTTGGTTAGAATAATACATGTACAGTATATGATTTTTTTTTTTACCTTCAAACATAGTAAAACCATGTCTACCTTGTTCATCATCAAAGTTAGCAATTTTAACAGCATATAATGTCACTAAAAAGCAGTTTGACATGTTCATGGAGGCATGTTTACGATACACTGCCCACATTTTAGCAATGATCCTCATTTGCTTTTACAAAATAATGCAACTGTTTTAACAACAGTCATGTCCTGTTTAAAAATGGTGACACCTTTTTATAAACAAGTATTTAAAACCAATATTTTATATATACGAAATGCAGGAACCTAAAGGTAGTCAAATTCTAAAAGGGAAGCAATTGAATCGTATGAAAACGAAATATATGAATCCATTTTATATTTTAAATCACCAATTCTACTATGATATAGTAATTTTGTAACATCTGATTGCTATTCAACCACATTATTGACATCATTGTCTTAGGAAGAACCTCACACACAAAAAAATAAGGGAATGAGAGACTAATGAGGTATAGATAAGACTGGGATAAGACGTTGAGTTTCAGAAAAGCATCACCAAGAAATGAAACACTTTTGTAATAAATTTTCTTGGAATGAGTTTGAAATTACATAATTACTATTATTATACATCTGTCACCATAAGTTACAGTGTGTCGTAATTTTGCGGTATTTTACGGGATATTTTCATCCCACCATATTAGGAAATGCGAATTCCAAAGATGGAATGATTACATGCATAGTTTAAGGTGTCCTCGTAATAACCTCATTTTATAAAAGTCTTCCTTGTCTCTGTATGCAAATCACAGACAGTGTAAGAGCCACTTTGCAGTTCACTTTACATTCACTAATGATGTAAAACTAAAGCAGTTCATTTTACTAATGATGCTCTCTTCAAATTAATGTTATTTTACTCAATTGATATACATACACATACCTTGCTACAATAAATGTTAAGACCATTACACACTGTGCATGTAAAAAAACCTGATCAAGCTGTCACAACAATTTTTCATTCCAATTTAAAAGCAGAAGCCACAGATTGAAATGAAAATTAAAGCTGACTGGCTGATAATGTTTTAGGTATTGAAATGAATTCAAAGATTTAGCGAGGAAAAGAAAATTGACATAGTAATATCTCTTTAGGTGATCATCATGATAGTCAAGTGACATGAGTAGAATACCACATCCATGAAGTCATTTCAGTGAAAACTTTAGACATCTGTTCTGAGACCTGTTTTTGTTTTAGGTTATGGTACATATGATAAACCTGTTATTTTCAAAAAGAAAGGTTCACAAATTCGCAAGTCGTGAAAATTCTGAATTGTGTACATGTAGCAGTGAAAATTTCTGTCGTTCTATTAAAGACAGTGACTTGTGCGAAATTTTGTCTTCACAATTCTCATAAAATTATCAAATCACAAATTTCTAGCAGTGAAAATTAAGTAGTTTACAGTATTTACCACCACATTACAGTAGAATACTTTATTTCCATTTGAAAGAGTGAATTGAGAGAGTGAATCAGAAAAAAAAAGAATAACATTTTCTCTATCTGACCATTATTGTTCTATTAGTACATGTAGTGCATAAATGTGTGAGGTGTGTCAAAGGTCAAAACATATTTCAATAATCCGGCATACAATAAATACTATTTTTGGTTTATATAAATACAGCATATTTATGATGAATCAGTGAATGGAAATTACACATCTACACAATATTTTTGCTTTGTCAGGAAAATAAATTCCAGCTTAGATTAAAGTAATTCACAGTAAGAAGAACTACCAGTACATGAATAACCATGGCAACAATACAAATTTAAACAAATAAATAACAAGAATTCAACATTTCTGCTACATAATTTGATAGCAATATGGCGTCCACTCCATTGAGATCTCATATAAAGAAAGATGGTTTCAGTTGATAACAACACCATAAATGTACTCCTGATTAGTTTACAAAGATTAGGGTTGCTATTGATGCATGTAATTAAAGCCTGTTATACGAATAATATCAAAACGCATGAAAGAACTGAAACAACCACAGACATGTGAGGTTGAATGACTTGGTGGTATATCCAATCTAATTATGTAGATATATCCAATTACTGCACTGTGTATGATCCACTTACAACCTACAACATTATACTCTTATTGTTACAGCATGATATTAACCTTTTGAACACCATCATTTTTCCCGCCAAAATTTTTGTGCAATATTTTGCCTATTTTTATGTATTTTTCTATTAATTTTGGGACTAAATAGACACAATTTCTCATTATTTACAGGTCTTGATCCAAATTTTGGAAAATTTATGAGAAAAATACGGCTTTTATTTTATTTTTTATTAAAGGGTTAATATTGTCTGAACTCAAAATATTTTAATAGAGAACCAATATACAAGTTTAAAAATAACTTGGTCAATATAACTTAAAATAGGTTTTATAAAATATGCACTTGTAACTGCAAAGAATTATAGACTGAATATTTTTAACATTGCTAGGCACATTACCCTTCACCAAAACTGATTTTGTATTCCAAGTACAAATATCTAACAAGACAAATTTCACTGCAGTCTTACAATGAATGAATACATTAGACTGATCCATACTCTGGGAATGTTTCCCTCGGGCTCTCGAGTTTCATAATACACGCAGAATTATGAAATTCATTTATTTTGATTTAAAATATCAGACGTAGTAATAAAAATATAATCAATGTTGATATTTATAATTTATTTTGCCTTAAAGCATACTGATGAGTCATTCGATACTGTAAACGCATTAATAATTATTCGCTGTTTTTTAATTTAGCTATTTTTCTTGATAAAGTAAAATCTGCTAAATTAAATCCACATGAATATGTAAAATAACAATGGAATTCATTGTTTTCCTGCCAAGTTCGTGAACTAAAAACCCAGCAAAATGGCTCAAAACATCAAAATACTGAAAAAAAATATCAGTGAAAATAAATGGTTTTACAGTATTTGATTCTAAAGCATCCTTCACGTAATGACATGTGTTGCCCACTGAACCTGAACATTTAGAGTCAGTATAATTCCCTGAGGTTACAAGCTGCAGATGACATTGTCATTTATCTCTCAAACATGTTTGTAGCAAGGGAGTGCAAAGTCTCTAAACAGATAATTGCAGCTTTAGAAAAGTCAAAATAGTGTAAAGCGTTAAATTTTCGTTGCTATCAATTTTCTCATTTTGCTGACATTTACAGGAGATGAGTTTTGATGAAAACTGCTGCGACCCCCTCTTTTATAGACCTCACTATTAAAATGAGATTTTGTCTCTCATGAAATTGACAAACTTATAGTGTTTGAAAAGAAAAGAATAATATATGAATTGAATTTGAAGATTTAATAAAGATATGGATGTGAACGTTTCAATTAGTGCCACAATCTTCAGTCAACATAATCAGGATTAAATGATAAATAAATAATAACATCATGGTTGAGATTAAGGTTATATTCATATTCAAAATTATATTCAAAATATCTGTGATTTATTTGGACTATAAACACTAGCTGTAGTTCAATGTCATCAAAAATTTTTATAAATCCATCCCAATCAAGGTCTACTTG